CTTATGAATGAGACAATTAAATTGCCTAATGTCTACAGATAGCAGGAAATTAAAGTAAAACTTTATAAGTTTAAATGCAGTGGATACAATACACAGTCTTTTAAAATTTTCACTGCCAACTATAACAATATGTTGTACAATTTATATCAGAGATCTGTGTGAAGATAAATGACACTTATAATGGTAACTTGTTTTTTTTTATCTTAAAACATATGCCTTATGAATTATTAAAATTGTAGAAAAAACTCGTCTTTTTTTTTTTTTTTTAGGTAAACCAAGGGGTAGCTTGTAATAGGCATTTCTCCTTGAAAATTCTATTAGGGGACATGTCCATATCTTTAAAAATTGATCATAATTTAAGTTTCTTTCAATCTTATTTTCAATGTCTTGAGAAATGTGGCTTCCAAAGTTTCCTTCGGAAGACTATTTGGTAATGGAGTCACCATAGGAAAAAAAGATTACACATTAATCTGAGGATCACTGAAAAAACAGAAACAAGAAACTAAACAACACAACCCACACAGTACGTATATGTAGTGCGTATCAGTATACTTATACATTTAAAAACAGATCTAAGTCCTCTTCTTTTTTTCTTGAAGGTTCATCAAATTCTCTCCAACTTCTAGCATCTTTCTTAAACTCTCAGCATAGATGGAAATTTTATTTTAAGAACAACAGGATATACTTAATGCAGTCCTGCTGGTCTAGTTATCAAAGAACCCCACAGAGGCACCTACTTACTGCTCTACCTAAAATGCATCAATTTCACCACTGGAGATGGCCTAACCAAAAATGCCTCCATTGGTGCTGCTGGGATCTCAGTACCAATCTTAAAACCCCACCCTTTAACTTACTTACCACAGAAATCGTTTTTGTTTCTAAATTCATCACTTTAATTTGATGATTATTGGTGTCTGCTACATATAATAACTGACCATTTTCTCCAATACACAAGCCTCCTGGTTCATTAAAAGTTGACTCGGTAAAAGTAGAACTGATAACATTATTTGTGTCTCCAGTTCCTGCTAATGTTGTACAGTTTTTTGTTTTTGGATCCACAACTTTAATCTAAAGAAAAAACAAAAATTTTTATATCTGAAGTTCAATCTCATGTTTACAGCATGGAAGGGTATTAAGCAAACTAGAGAATTTCTGATTGCCATTAAGGATTCTCAATAAATCTTAGAACAAGAACAGGTATTTCCATATTTCCTTGAAAAGACAAATATTCAAATTACAGTCTAAAGGGATACATTCCATTCTAAAAGCTAAAAACCATCCCTAGTTACGTCTTGCCTTCTAGAAGCAATCTTTGATGAATTTATTTCTGGAATTAAAAAATAATAATAATTTTATTGTTTTTCTTTACAACNTTTGATGAATTTATTTCTGGAATTAAAAAATAATAATAATTTTATTGTTTTTCTTTACAACGGGAAACACTTTCACAGGTGAACTGACTTTCTTTTCACGAGCATCTAGCACTTCCCAATGATTTGCTATCTTGTTAAACTTAGATTACCAGTTATGTCCCATTATATTAAACGTATGATCTCTCATCACATAGTATTAACATTTACTGTACACTGATTTTTGTAAAAAAAGAAAAATGCAATAAAAACTAAAACAACTGAATAGACAAAAGTGGAAATACTGCTGAAAACAAAATTATTTGCTATCAGGCACTACAACTACACAACAGCTCAAAAACGTTCATTTGTTAGCTGACATATGAGGGTACTTCAAAAAGTTCATGGAAAAATAGAACTAAAAGATAGTACGAATCTTTCCATGAACTTTTAGAAGTATCCTCGAATTAATTTCCCTGCTACCTGCCTTCTCCTTACTACCTGAATATGTTACTAAAGTGGCTTTGATAGGACACAATTCACAACTTTTGGCTACAACCACTGGAATTGGCTTAGTACTTTCTCTAGTTCAGAGTCATAACCACCATAACCCTTTGGCAAAGAAAGGACCATGAAAAGAACAGAACAAGCTGGTATATAGGTGTCAAAGACTTTTTCACTATGTATTTTAGAGTGGCAGTTGTAGGAGGCTCCAGATCTTTTAGCACTTTAAATACCACACACAAAAAGCAAGTTTTTACATAATTCTGTCAAGACTCACCTTGTGATTATAGGAGTCTGCCACATAAAGTAAATTCCTTTTCTTGTCCCATGCTACTCCAAGTGGGTGCTGAAGCTTTGCACTGATTCCTACTCCATCAACATCACCAAAAGCAAATAAGTTCTTTTAAAAAAA